CATGTAAGCGCCTCGAACGACCGGGCAGCCCTAACGGACACGATGTTCAACGCGGTCCAGCGACCCTGCGGAAGATGTAAGCCTTCGAGCTCAACGCGTTCAATCTGCACGGGAACGAACCGCCGAGGTTCGTTTTAAAGTACGAACGCGAGGTTCGTCTGAAGTCCGAACGCGACGGCTTCGTCTGGAAGTATTCGAACGCAAGGTCCGTTCTGAAGTACTGAACGCCGAGGTTCGTCTGAATACGGAAACGCTGAGGTTCGTCTGGAAGTACGAACGCGAGGTTCCGTCTGAAGTACGAACGCGAGGTTCGTCTGAATTACGAACGCGAGGTTCGTCCTGACAGTACGAACCGAGGTTTCGCTCGAAGTACGCAACGCGAGGTTCGCCCACTTTTTGGGGGGGAATTTTACCGAACGCAGAGGTATCCGTCTGAAGCTACGAACGCGAGTTCTGTCTGATGTACGAACGCGAGGTTCGTCTGAAGTACGAACGCGAGGTTCGTCTGAATTACGAATGCGAGGTTCGTCTGAATTACGAACGCGAGGTTCGTCTTAGAACGAACGCGAGGTTCGTTAAAATTGAGCTTGACGCTCACCTGAGTTGAACGCGAGGTTCACCTTAGAACGAACGCGAGGTTCGTTAAAATTGAGCTTGACGCTCACCTGAGTTGAACGCGAGGTTCACCTTAGAACGAACGCGAGGTTCGTTGAGCGCGAAGCTCGGTTAAAATTGAACGAACGCGAGGTTCGTTTGAGGTAACCACCTCCTTAATTTTCGCCATGAACCCTTAGGGTTTCAAACTGAAACCGCCGCCGTCAAACCCAAAAAAATCTTTGATTTTTATTTTCAAAACAGATTCAGAATTGGAAAAAATTGAAGAAAAAATCAAAGAAAAATCCAAAAAATTACTGTTCACCGGCGACTTTTCAGTTACTGTTCATCCGAAAAACTGTACTGTTCATCCGAACAAAAAATTTTCGTTACTGTTCACCGAACATTACTGTTCATCCGAACCCAAAAATTGAATCTTTAACCAGAGATTTAAGATCAAAAACCCAATAAAACTTAAATCTCTAAGAATTAATCAAGGTGGCTCTGATACCACTTGTTAGATCTACATCATAAACTTGAGATCTAAAACCATATAGCCATGATTAATTCAAAGAGATTAACAAAAATCTAAAAGAGCGGAAGCTTATACCTGAATCCATTGCTTGATCTTGATTTTGGGTTTTGGATCTTCTAACCTTAGGGTTTCTCTAAATCCGAATTTCTCTAGCTAGATGGGGGTGTAGAGAATTAGAGAATGTAACCCTAGGTTAGGGACCATAACCCCTTATTTATAGATGTTGTACTTTTGTAATTTAGCCCCTCAATAAATTACAATTACAACCTGGTATCTGCACATATGACCCCATGATAACCCCATGACTTATTTAAATACCAAGTTAACCCAGCTTAATTGATCACTTTAGTGGGTTATCCTGAAAGATAGCAATACACATTGATTAATCATATGTGCCCACAAATAGATTTATTAGATTAAATCCAACAGCCATCTCCTTCCCAAGCTCGTCCGAACCGCCCCAACAACAACCTCTGACCCTCCACCTCGTCGACCACCACAACCCGCAACCTAACTCCGCCTCCTCCCTCCTCCCATTAGTCCTCGTCACTTTGGCCTCAGCCCGTCGAGCGCCTCCCCTTCTCATCCCCATGCCGCAGACCCATCTGCATTTGCCTCCCTCAGGCCTCTCATTGCCGGTCCGCTGCCATGCCTCAGCCCACACGTCCGATGGCGACAGCCCCTCCACAAGACCCGACACCGTCTCCCCCGTTGGCCTCCTCTCTCCCGAGCTCACCGCTGTCCGACACCGATCCGAGTTCGTTGCTACGCTTCTTCGCATCAGATCCAACCCATATCGTCGACGTCGATTTGTTCGATGCGCCGAGACAAGATCTCGCCTCTCCACATTTTCTTGTTTTACAAATATTATCGATTAAATAATTTAATTAGATATGATAATGTCGGTAATGTGCATATTGTGAATATTTGACGTGGAATGTTGATAAATAGTATTAGATAATATTTTAGAAATAATAATAAGATATTTTGTGGTAATTATATCTGAGAATTAAGGAGCATGAAATGATGAGTATGTATTGTAAATAGATTTTATAAGACATTAATAGTTTTTGTATATTTATAACTAAGTATTTACGGACATGAAATGATAAGTTAGGTGTTAAAATTAGAATTTATGAAATATTATCGAAAAAGAAATAAATTAAAGGTAATTTATAAAATAGAAAATATTACTTTTTATGTGGAAAAGAATTAACAAATATATATTTATATTAAATTAGTTATAATGAGATATAGTTTTAAAGAATAATTTTGGAAAAAGAATATTTATTATTTATGATGGTGTGACTGATCGTCGTAGAGCATGACAATTCATGTGCAAAACGACATCGGTTTACAGTTTTCTTTTCTGCATTATTATATTAGAGGATACTTAATTACGGATAGCTTGCATGAGAAGTTTGGACACCTCACTAGTAAGATATTAATGAAGTCTATTTAGGTGTGTTTTTATGCTGTGTAAATTCTGTTCATGCATTCCGTATTTCGTTCGCAGTTATTACTCATGCCTTATGAACTTGCTTAATCATGTTCGACATGCCATGTTATCATTGTATATAATTAGTTTTATTTATTGCCTCTTGTAGTGATTGAGAACCTTAGTAGTTCATGACTTAGTGGTCTCGTGCGTCATAAACAGACTTAGTGACATGTGTGTGTGTGTGTGTTGACTGAGTTTAGGTGGTGAACGCGAGTTTCAATGAGGATTATGGTTGACTTAGAAAAGTGAGAAGGGTTGGGATGAGGAAGTCAAGGTTCATGTAATTGGATAAGGTTGTTGATATATCTTCTAGGCTCGCACCAGTGGATAGGTGTTGCCACTGGGGTTGGTTTGTTAGGTCAAAGTAGATCGGTGTCGCTACTTTGGTCCATGAGTTTGATATTCACCCGAGTTTAGCTTGAGTCCGGACCAGGCTGAAAACAAATTGCGTGTAGTCCTCTTACCGAGTTTGTGTAATTGTATTGGATGTACGTAGGAGATTTGTGAACAGTCAGTTATCCGATGATATGAGCATTGACTCTGTGTGAGATGTGAACCAGTGACCTGTTATAGGATGACTAGTTACATGACCTTGTTATTTGAATGATCTATGGATTCTTGTGAGATGTAGGCCAGTTGTATTCTTTTCATACATAGATCGGGGTTAATTTGAATGATCTATGGATTCTTGTGAGATGTAGGCCAGTTGTATTCTTTTCATACATAGATCGGGGTTAATATTCAATTATCTACAATTTAAGACATGTGGTATATACATGATGGTTTCCTTGTTTGAATTATTTCGCTCGACGTACTACGTCTCTTATTGTAGATTTTTAAGTATGAATCCCATCTAGTTGTATGACATTATTACTAGGATAATTATTCTGATGGCTAGCTGCATGCTCTTGTTACTTGGTTAATTTTCATAGATTCTTGACTATTATATACCATTGGTGGATTTCATCTAGTTTTTAGTATCTAGCCACATGCTTCTATTTATTATTACTGTTTTTGCCTTGGCCATTCGACCGTTACTATTTCTCCCTTGTGGGATCTTGCCGCGTGCCATGCACGCTAACGAACACCTATTTTCTCTGGTGTATGTCATATTTAGGAGATGGACAGCCTTAGTTTAGAATCGTACAGGAGCCAAAGGATTCTCAGTAGGAGTGCCTTGCAGATGGAGTAGAAGAACAAGCTGAAGTGTAGTAGTTTTCTTCTGTAGTAGTTATAGAAAATTAGAACTCTTTATCATATTTTTCTTTAATTAGTTGTATGATGGATTTTCGTATTTTTAGTAGTACTTCTTTTTCTTATGGACTATGTATTTTTATTCCTAGATGGACCGTTTTTGTAATAAGGGTATGTTTGACCCATATTTTATGTCTAGGATGATCCGATTGATGATATGTTTATTTCTTATTATGGGTTGTCTTTATATTCTTACTATTGTGATCAAGGACCTATGATTGAGATTTATGTATTTGACGCTTAGCATATTGGATTGAGAAGAAAAAAAATGATAGTGTATATTTCTTCTTAATCTAATACGTCGCGGGCTTGTTCACGTTCCAATTCCTGGGTATTTTGGGAAGCGGGGCATGACAGGTTTTAGTGGTGGCCCATGCAGGTCGCGATCCCGAGTCCTCACTAGTAAGAATATAGTGGACAATTTAGATACATATCGTATTTTATCCGTAAGACTACAATTAAGTTCTTATACTATTATTTTAGTAACTATTTTTTAGTTCCTATTTTCTGATATATTGTTTTGATTTTAACCTTAGTTTTTCTTTTGATTCTCGTTTTTCTTCAGAACCATGGTGGATACGCGAGGCTATAGTAACCTGTCTGGTAGCAGTGCCCCGCAGCCCGAAGTGGACCCGAGCTAACTTCTGACGATGATTCATGGATTAGTTACGAATCAGCAGCTCTTGGCTAGGCACTTGCAAGGGGAGCCTTAGCACCAGCCTCCCCCTCGTCCAGAGTCTAGTATTAGGGAGTTCCGATATATACGTTCCCCTTCTTTCTCTGGTACTGAAGGACCTCTACTAGCAGGGGAGTTCTTGAAGGTCACTAAGACTATTCTCACGGTGACCTGTATTTCCCCTGCTGAATGGGTGAATCTCATGGATATTTAGCTCACTGATACCGTTCGGATATGGTGGACAGCTGAGAAGACTCATCTGGAGAGGCCCATCCTGTGGGAGATGTTCACCAAGCACTTTAACAGTAAGTATTTTTCTCAGTCGGCTTGAGATGAACTCCTACGTAGGTTTGTTAAGCTCAAGCAGGGAGGCCGATCAATTGATGAGTATGAGGCCGAGTTCTCTTCCCTGAGTCGATATGAACCCAATCTGGTTACAGACCCTACTATTAGGAGGCATCAGTTTCAGAAGGACCTGGACAAATATATCAGGTTTGCTCTAGCTGGTAGAGCACTTGCAACCCATTATGCAGTACTGGATGCAACACGAGAGATTGAGAGTGTTCAGAAGGAACCTGAAGACCTACATGTGATTCAGAGCATAACACCAGCAGCTCCAGTCTGGAATATTGAGCGTTCCCCTCCGAGGCAGCAGCAGGCTCCACATCGACATTAGTTTACTCAGTGCCAGCCACTTCCCCATATGCATCCCGATTATATGCCAATAAAAACTAATTAACAAGTTATCCTAGCAAGTATGAAATATAACAACTATATAAGGTAGGATAAGCAATATGAACAATGAGATATATCCTATATGATGAATATATATATGCAAGGATATATAAACTAACACAAGATGATATATCCTATCAAAGAGATATACAATATGATATATGTATATGCAAGGATATAAAACTAACACAAGGGGTAAACAATATGAACTAGATAGTGGATCATATAAATAATGAGCTAATGACAATGGCAACAAGAAATATAACTAGATAGTGGATCATATAAATAATGAGCTAATGACAATGGCAACAAGAAATATAAACACAAGTATACATAAACGCCAAAGCACACTCAAACACATGATATGATCACGGAGTTCGGACCTTCCGTCCTACGTCTCCTCTCCCCACTCCCGGTGAGAAATCCACTATCACAACCAGGTTTTCTATACTCACCTGAATAACGTTTACACCTCACAGTGTCGGTTTTCAACGCTCACCGATCAACGTCACTCCTCACACTCAGTTTTCTAGTTCACCGAAAACTTCACAACACACTCGGTTTTCTAGCTCACCGAAAACCTTACAACACTCACAATGTAACAAATATAAATTTATTCTCTATAATAGATGAGAACTCAATTAAGCATAACTCAATGTTACAATTTCTCACAACCCTAATATACTATGTATGTAAATACAATAAGCTCAAGTGAGTGTGTGTAACAATGAGTATAAATCAAATCAACTAAACTCAAATATAAAATCTAGCTTAAGAACAATGATAATCAAACAAGTATATAAATGTAAAGCTAGAGTTTGAGTTTAGAAAACTTCTCAATTGATAACAAGAGATGGAGGGAGGATAGTTGGAAGCTCAAACTTCAATAGATAATCTCATCAAGCTCTTGTGGAATTGATTCACAAAACCGAAACACTCAAATGCTTAACAGCTTCTTAAAACAAACTTAAACAAACACTAAATAAGTTTAAAACCTTGTTAAACTATTTGAAAAACATTTTCTTGGATGGGTTGAGAACTGAGATCAATGAGGTATTTATAGCCTCCAAGAACCTCAGCCAAAAACCCCAAACAAAAGACCAAAAAGCCATAAGAAAATAGCTGGAAAAAATAGCCGTTGAAACTGAAAAGACAGAGCGGCAGTCGACCGGTGCGGTTGACCGTGAGCAAGGTAAGAAACGAAAGAATTTTCCAGACAGTTCGTCGGTCGATCGCACTGTAGCGCGGTCGACCGCTGGTACTGTAGCAGTGCGTATCAGTTTTGTAAAATCAATTAAAAATAGTAAAATAGCTCCAATAATTATAAAATTTTGTGGTAAGGTTTTAGACATATAGAATAACATGTTAGAGAAATAACTTATTAAAAATCGTTTCCCATTTGAGAGAAATAAATGTTTGAACACAGATTTATAGTTTCTAAAAAACTGCAGACATACACGATTTTGTAAAATCAATTGGGCATAGTAAATCAACTCCAAAAATAGTAAAATTTTGAGGAAAGTTTATAAACATGTAGATAAAGATGTAAAAGAAAGAATTTATTGAATATCACTTCCCATTTATGAAAACTCATCTGTTTTGTAAAACATGCACGAACATGTGCACGAACAAAAACATGATTTTGTAAATTCCATTAAATATAACAAATCAATTCCAAACTTGATGAAACTTTACAACATATTTATAAACTTGAAAAAAAACATGTTACAAAAATAAAATTTCAATTTTCATTTCTCAATTGTGAAAACTCATTATTTTGTAAAAACACGCATGAATATGAATTTGTTAAGAACATGTTTTTGACAAAAAGAGTTTAAACGCATATTGAAACTTTATGAAATGTCTTCATAAACATTATAACACATGAATATAAAGTAAACATGGTCAATAAAACAATATCACATAGTTTTCTCAAAATAGCTCATTTTGTGAGAAAATCTAATATTGTGTGTGTATATGATATTGAGCTTAGAGTATTAAACACACATAATATAAACCTATACTAAATATAAACCTATATTGATGAAGGTCTTCAATGAGCATGACTTGGTAAACTTTGTGGAAGAAGCTTGTAATTGGATCTTTAACTTGAATTGACGTTGCTTCACTCCACAATTCCGCCAACCTCCATTTGATATGATCGTTAAGGCTCGATTCCATCCATCCTCCAACTCATTGTTTGCCTAGAATAAATACAAAAACACAAACACTAGACAAACAACATTAGTTGTAAATTGTTTATTAAACATCATCAAAACAAGAAGGCCAACAATCTCCCCCTTTTTGATGATGACAAATAATTTACAAAAAAGATATATGCATGAAAGGAAATGAATATATAAATTATTATTTACATGCATATAAACAAGAAAGAATATACTCACAATATTTCTACCCCTTTGACAACATCAAAAAGGGGACACATGCATATAAACAAGAAAGAATATACTCACAATATTTCTACCCCTTTGACAACATCAAAAAGGGGACAAAGGTATGAAGAGAGCGAAAGCTGCCCATATCAATATGCATGGGTGAGTATAACACATAGAAAGATATAAGGATTGCTCCCCTTATCAAAATGCCATAAAGAATATATGAAATGAAGATCATGCCAAACATATGTGAGCAAGCATACATGAAGATGCTAAATATCACTCACATACAAAAAGACAATGAGAACACATATAAATGTATCATTAAAATAATGTGTCTCAAAACATAAACATAAAGATCAAAAATAGATTTATGAAATCAAAAGAAAAGGAACATGAAAATCATGTAAAAGGTTTTCAAATGAAAACAAATCAATCAAATGAAATCATAAATCAAGATTTAAGTCATACGAAACCAAATCAATATTAAATTTTGTCGTATCCGACAAAGATCAAAAGAGGCAACCAAATCTAGCTCTTGAGCTAGTATCAACCCATATAAATATTTATAACACCCGGTAAACAAGATTTGGGAATAAACACCCAATAATCCGGTGGATTATATAAACGTAGTCTTCTCATCAAAACAAAATTAATAATCATGAAAATAAAAGAATTTGATCAATGAAAAAATTATTTTCATGTTCCAAGATTTCAAAGCATAATTTTCAAAACCAAGAAAAGGAAATGAAAGAATACTAAAATTCTAGGTTTAAAATTTAAATTTGTTTTGGTACCCAAGAACTCTTGGTACCAAAAGATTTAGGGACATGACCCCTATCATTAAAGCTCAAAGCCCTTAGGTTATGAACCCTCTTGGGCGCATGTAGTGCACTAACACGATCAAAGCAATAATCGCTCAAATGACCCTTCCGATTGCAATATGTGTAATGAAAGAGATCCATTTGTTTTTATGGACTATTTGCTCGTGCACGGGAAACATTAGAAACATTTGCAAACATGAGTGATCTTTTAAAATTATTTTGCAAATGAGAAACCTTATCAAAACAAAACTTTCCTAAGTGGCCATATCTACCACAAACATCACATTTAAAAATATGTGGTCTACTAGAAGCATTTGGCAAATGAGATTTCTTTTTCAAATCAAAATAATATTCAGCCAAATAACCAAAACGACCACAATGATCACATCTATACACATGAGCATGCTTATGATGAATAATGGGTTCATGTGTGTGTACATGTGATGAAGAAGCTACATGAGATGCACAAGGAGCATTGATATTTTTATGTTTGTGTGCATCATAGCAAAATTTAGATAAATAACCTTTTCGGCCGCAAATAGAGCATTTGTAAATTTTGCTATATATGTGTGCATAATGAGTAGATGATGACTTAGACTTGGCACACATATCCATAAGCCTCTTATGATTATTAATGCATGTTTTCAAAGTTGAATCTAAAGATAAAATGCTTTTATTCATAAGATTCAAATCTTCATTGTTAGGCACATATGCATTTTTAGAAGTAGAACATAAATAATCATTTATAAAGGAAGCAGTATTGTCGGATCGCCTCCAAGTCTCCTTGATGTGCTTCAATAAATTTCCATAAGGTGTAAGCACTATCAAAAGAATCAAGCTTGTTAGACATAAATGAATCAAATGCATTTAATAAAAATTCTAACATAAGCTTGTTCATAATAAACAACTTTTTATCATGTTTGCTCCACTTGGATTTCTCCAACGTGGGTACAATATAAGCATAATTAATGATTTCCCATAAATCGATATTTTTAGATTGAACAAATATTTTGAATCTAACACTACAAGAAATCCGGTATTTAGCGACCAAAATTAGTGAAGGGACTAGTTGACCGTCATTAATGTGTGTAAAATAACGACGGTTTTAAAACCCTTCATCAAGTTATCACAATTATTAGAGAAATGATGTGAGATGGGATAACGGTTTTCTAGTCCCTTCGTTGATTTGATCCTAATACCGTCGTTATTGGGTCTCCTTAAAGACGAAGGGGTCCATTACCTTCATTGATAATAATGCTAATCTTAATAGGACTTAAAATTTAACCTATTACTGTTAATAAAAGAAAACCAAACTCCAATTCGCTACAACTACCCCCCACGTTTTAATCTTTATCCTTCTCTCACATTAATGTATAAGGCCAACGTGCGGAGCACCAGAAACGGACAACCATTCGTTCTCATCTACGCAAACCCACTACAACAAATTACACTTTTCCCAACGCTTATTCCCGACGCATGGTTAAATACGTCATCATAAAGTATGTTTTTCCCGACGATTTTAGTTAACGTCGGCAAAACATAGATTTTTCCTAACGTTTATAATTAGCGTCGCTAAAAGTGTATATTATTAGTGATGTTTTTGCTTAGCGTCGGTAAAAGTGTATGGATTTCCTGGCGTTCTTTTCATTTTCGTCAGCAAAAATATATATTTTTAGCGACGTTTTAAGGCTGGAATCGCTAATAGTGTGCATATATCGCGACGTGTAGGTAAGCGTCGCTAAAAATCTATTTTCCTTACGGCCCTGGTTTGCGTCCCTAAAAGGTTTATTTTTAACGATGCTTTTTTATTCATCTGCGTCGCCAAAAATCGTTCCCCCAAAATTCATCCCCCCCATTTCATTTGTTTCTCCCAACGTTTCCCCAACCCCTCGACCTCCTCTCTCCCCTTGTTCTCCTCTACTCGACCTCTTTCTCCCCATGCCACCATCGCTGCTTCCCCACGCCGCCGCTGCTTCCCCCCTACCCGACCTGGCGACCTCCTCTCTCCCCATGCCACCGACCTGCTCTCTCCCCATGCCACCTCCGTCCCTGCTTTGAGTATTGTTTGATGGGCTTTTGGTGTTTAGATCTGTACCTAGGGTTTGAAGAAGTCGATGGAGGCGATGAGGGGATTTGCACTGTTAACAGATACGTTGTATACTTCTTGTCATAGCATGTTAAACATTAACCCTTCTTATCAGTTACCTGATAATCATTGGGTCTTCTTTTACGTTTCCTGCTAGGTTTTTCAGCCTGAATTTACAATTGCATCACTCTTAACTGATTAAGGTTGCATATTACCCGTTTGATTTAATACCTCAGAGATGTTTAATCGGTTGTAGTTACTTGTTGCCCGTGTCTCAGAAATTTTGTAAATTTGACTGATTTTGAGTTGGTTCTAGTGGTTGTTCATCTGAAAGTTAATCAATTATAGTTGCATGTCGCTGTTTGGTCCAATGCCGAAACTTAGGAGAATTAGTTGATTTTAAGATGACCCTGGTGGTTGTTCATCTGAAATTTAATTGATCACATTTGCACGTTTCCTGTTTGATCAAATGCCTCAAAGAAATTTGGAAAGTTTAGTTGACTTTAAAATGCCCTTAGTGGTCGTTCATCTGAAACTCAATGATTAAGGTAGCATATTGCATGTTTCATCAGTGTCTTAAAGAGATTTATAAGTTTTAATCAATTTAGGATTAGCCCAAACAGTTGTTTATTTGGAATTTGGATTAAGATTTTGAATTTGTTATGATTCTTGACAGGGATTGGTTGAGCCAGATGTGGGATTCGGAAGCCCATTGTGCACTGCAAAGAACATCTTGCAACTTGAATATCTCTTGTTGCAATGTCCACGCACATGGTAAGTGAATTGTTCAACTCACATGTTCTTCTTTTTCATTGTGTACATTGATTTTCATTTTCTTATAATGAATGCTAGTTGTTTAAAGCTTAACAAGTCCTAAAGATTGCTGAGTTCATTATTTGTGTATCATTTAATAAAAATTCTCGGAAGGGCATCTGCAGTTTTCACTCTCTATTCTTGTATTTTATGAAATAGTTTATCCACACAAAATATGTTGAGTGGCAACAGGATTCAGAGCTGAAACTTCTTTTGGGTGTTCAATTAAACAAAAAAGCAATAGAGAATATGGAAAGACAAAGGAGAATGAAGAAAGTAAAAATAAAGAGAAAATGAGAAGGGAAGCGAACAGAGAGTGAAAAAAAAATCAAGGAGTAATAAAAAGAATGATAACTTGTAATTAACATTATTTTGAATCACCTAATAATCAAGGTAGTGATTTTTATATTGATGCAATGTTGTCATGGACTTAGGATCACAATCTAGATAACAAGGCAACATCAGACTGCAACTAGGATAAGTCAGGATTAGAATGGACATTACAATATTCAGTTGGGTATTAAGATTAAATTGTTGAACTCCAATGCTTATAGATGTTTCAATCCAATCAAGTCAGGCAACAGGGGTCTTCGCTATGCAAAATAAACTAGAAAAGCATAACTCTTGGTAAAAATAAATAAATAATTCAACTCATTTTCTATCGAATGACGTATTACTTGACCACTATATTTCTTCAAATTGATGTGATGTATTTCTATAGGCTTTAAAAACTTGAGCAGAAAGAGGCTGCTGGAAGATGTATCTCAAGAGTAGTTTCTCATTGAATATGTTGGAGAGGTGAAGAATGTTCTACATATCTTAAGATTTTCTTTACACCTGTCTTCAGAAATTGGAAATTGATGAACATGCGTAAAAATTAAGAATTACTTAGTGTACTTATTCTATCATGCTGATTTCTTGACATAATTATAATTTATTAATTGGCCTTCCTATACGGTGACATTGTCTCGATATTCATTTTGAAGATATTACTTAGTGTACTTTTTTTGTGTATCTGTTAAACTGAATCATTCAAACAGCAAGTAGTTCTTTTATAGTCTATCCTTATCTTTTTCTTCTAATGATATACAGATCAGTTGAACTGTTGATGCTCTTAATCTTAATACTTATTAATTATAAATATTAGCTCTTGAAGCTGAGCATGTCTGCTCATGCAAATGAACCTGCTACTTGATGTTGGTGGAAATGCTTCTATTATGAAACTTACATACTTAAACCTATATAATTTGCTGGTATACGTGCACTATTCATGTCAATGAAGAATGTCATTTAGTGTTAGGTTGGAGATCATGCTGAATTTGATTGTATTCTCTTCTAAATTCCGTTTTTTCTACATTATGTAGGTTATCAAAAGAAGCATACAGAGTGGAATGCCGTCCGAGTACACTGAAATGATCTTAATCCAGCATGAGTTGGAAAAACAATGTGGGATAAAGCAGGTATATCATTAGTTTGTTTCATCTGTAAACAAGGGTGGTAGGGGTGAAGGCCCTTCATCTAGAGTCATCGCTTTGCTTCATCAACTTACTATGAATGCTTCAACAACGCTTAGATGAGCATGAGCAACAACAAATGATGTCTGAGTTGGAGTCACAAGTGAAAGCTATGCAAGAACTTTTTTTAGGCAATCACCTTCGTTGACTCCTCAAACTCGAGAACGTGTGCAGGACTAGGTAATTATTTTTTGTAAAATCTCTTATATACTTTTATGATTGACTACTTGCACTAAAAAAATATGATTTTTACTTAATAAGATAATATTTGATTAATTGATATTTCTTAATTATGTGATTTTTTTTAATTTTTCAGGCTATTCATGTAAGATTAGGAGGAGGTAGCTTGAGTTTTCTTTTGACGATGATTAGAGATGAATGAATGTGTCTTCCCCAAACTTTTATTTTAATTTGTTTTAGATAGTTTCATGTATTTTTCTTTGGAACAATTAGGATATTAACTCTTATTATTAGTATTGAATATTTGAGGATGGTGGAATTTTATTTATTGATGTTATTAATGAATGGAATTTTTATTTTTCCTCTTATTCATTATTGGGTATTTTTAATATATTTTTGTTGTGAATCTTAGTGTCAGGTTGAGAATAATATGATAGTTGCCTATGAATAAAAAATTATTATTAAAGTATATTAGAAATTTGTAGTCTATAATGACGGTTTTATAAACCGTATTTTGTTCATCAACGAAGGGAAAGCACCGTCGTTGATGGGTTACTAATTACCCATTATGAGGACTTTTACGACGGTATCCAACCGTCATTATTAGTCTTCAACAACGGGAAAATATCCTCGTAACTAATGGTAACGACGGGAAAATATCCCATCACTGATGGTAACGACGGGAAAATATCCCGTCACTGATGGTAACGACGGGAAAATATCCCCGTCATTGATGGTAACGACGGTGATAATTACTGTCGTAAATATTAATGACGGTAATATGTTCCGTCGTTATAGACTCTATAACGACGGGTAGTATATCCCTTCGTGACCCTTTAGCGAAGAGGGCTTCAACGACGGGTGACGAAGGGATGTTTTCCCGTCGTTAGCATACAATAACGAAGATTTTCAGCTTTTTAACGAAGGGAAACCCCTTCGTTAAAGATGTAATTTCTTGTAGTGTAAAACACCATTGAGCATAAGGGAAAACATTGAATTTAGGAGCAATACTAGAATCATAGCCTAAACAAGATGCATCATTCATATCCATAATTTGTAAAAAATATGCAAGCAAGATACAAATGTAATCAAGACAAGATTAGCAAAAAAAGATAATTTGGATCTTTAACTCAAGGCGATTAGACCTTAAATCAAAGAGCACCAAACTCTGATACCAATTGTTAGACCCTAGAGGGGGGTGATTAGGGTCTTATGCTAATCTAATCCGATTATATGCCAATAAAAACTAATTAACAAGTTATCCTAGCAAGTATGAAATATAACAACTATATAAGCTAGGATAAGCAATATGAACAATGAGATATATCCTATATGATGAATATATATATGCAAGGATATATAAACTAACACAAGATGATATATCCTAACAAAGAGATATACAATATGATATATGTATATGCAAGGATATAAAACTAACACAAGAGTTAAACAATATGAACTAGATAGTGGATCATATAAATAATGAGCTAATGACAATGGTGACAAGAAATATAAACACAAGTATACATAAACGCCAAAGCACACTCAAACACAAGATATGATCACGGAGTTCGGACCTTCCGTCCTACGTCTCCGCTTCCAACTCCCGGGGAGAAATCCACTATCACAACCGGGTTTTCTATGCTCACCCGAATAACGTTTACACCTCACAGTGTCGGTTTTCAACGCTCACCGATCAACGTCACTCCTCACACTCGGTTTTCTAGTTCACCGAAAACTTCACAACACACTCGGTTTTCGAGCTCACCGAAAACCTTACAACACTCACAATGTAATAAATATAAATTTGTTCTCTACAATAGATGAGAACTCAATTAAGCACAACTCAATGTTACAATTTCTCACAACCCTAGTATACTATGTATGCAAATACAATAAGCTCAAGTGGGTGTGTGTAACAATGAGTATAAATCAAATCAACTAAACTCAAATATAAAATCTAGCTTAAGAACAATGATAATCAAACAAGTATATAAATGTAAAGCTAGAGTTTGAGTTTAGAAAACTTCTCAATTGATAACAAGAGATGGAGGGAGGATAGTTGGAAGCTCAAACTTCAATAGATAATCTCATCAAGCTCTTGTGGAATTGATTCACAAAACCGAAACACTCAAATGCTTAACAGCTTCTTAAAACAAACTTAAACAAACACTAAATAAGTTTAAACCATTGTTAAACTATTTGAAAAACATTTTCTTGAATGAGTTGAGAACTTAGATCAATGGGGTATTTATAGCCTCCAAGAACCTCAGCCAAAAACCCCAAACAAAAGACCAAAAAGCCATCAGAAAACAGCTAGAAAAAATAGCCGTTGGAACAGAAAAGACAGATCGGTAGTCGACCGGTGCTGTTGACCGCGAGCAAGGTAAGAAACGAAAGAATTTTCCAGACAATTCGTCGGTCGACCACACTGTAGCGCGGTCGACCGCTGGTACTGTAGCAGTACATATCAGTTTTGTAAAATTAATTAAAAATAGTAAAACAGCTCAAAAAATTATGAAATTTTGTGGGAAGGTTCTAGACATATAGAATAACATGTTAGAGAAATAATTTCTGAAAAATCATTTCCCAGTTGACAGAAATAAATGTTTGAACACAGATTTACAGTTTCTGAAAAACTGCAGACATACACGATTTTGTAAAATCAATTGGGCATAGTAAATCAACTCCAAAAATAGTAAAATTTTGAGGAAAGTTTCTAAACATGTAGATAAACATGGAAAAGAAAGAATTTCTTGAATATCACTTCCCATTTATGAAAACTCATCTGTTTTGTGAAATATACACGAACATGTGCACGAACAAAAACATGATTTTGTAAATTCCATTAAACATAACAAATCAATTCCAAACTTGATGAAACTTTGCAAAATGTTTATAAACTTGAAAACAAACATTTTATAAAAATAAATTTTCAATTTTCATTTCTCAATTGTGAAAACTCATTATTTTGTAAAAACACGCATGAATATGAATTTGTTAAGAACATGTTTTTGACAAAAAGAGTTTAAACACATATTAAAACTTTATAAAATGTCTTCATAAACATTATAACACATGAATATAAAGTAAACATGGTCAATAAAACAATATCACATAGTTTTCTCAAAATAGCTCATTTTGTGAGAAAATCCAATATTGTGTGTGTATATGATATTGAGCTTAGAGTATTAAACACACATAATATAAACCTATACTAAATATAAACCTATATTGATGAAGCTCTTCAATGAGCATGACTTGGTAAACTTTGCAGAAGAAGCTTGTAATTGGATCTTTAACTTGAATTGACGTTGCTTCACTCCACAATTCCGCCAACCTCCATTTGATATGATCGTTAAGGCTCGATTCCATCCATCCTCCAACTCGTTGTTTGCCTAGAATAAATACGAAAACACAAGCACTAGACAAACAACATTAGTTGTAAATTGTTTGTTAAACATCATCAAAACAAGAAGGCCAACAGTCTTCAGTGAAGTGTTCCTATTGTGGCCATGTTGGGCATACCCAGCAGGAGTGTCGCAGGCGTCTTCGTTTGTGCTATGCTTGTGGATCCCTCGAGCATGTCAGTCAGGACTGTCCGTAGCGACAGCAGACCATCTTGCCCCCACCTCCAATTTGTGCAGCTCTTCCAGCTCCACCTCGATCAGCCTCACTAGCTCCATTTTAGCATGGACCTTATCCTTGAGCAGGGCCACTTCCTCCACAGCAGTAGGTTTATAAGGAAGCGCGAAGGTAACAACCACCACGTCAGACATTCATTATGACGACCGTGGAAGCTGAGGCGAACGACTAGGTTATTACTGGTAAGAATTGTTCATCTTCGTTTTACTTGCATATGATTTTCCTTATTAGTATTGTTTGATGGTATTATGATAGGATTTGTTTATGAGTACTAGTTTAGATGTATTTTTTTCTCCTCCTGTAATAGGCAAGGTTCTTGTTTCTTCCATTCTTGCTTTATCACTCTTTGAGTTTGGGGCATCCCAATGTTTCTTGCCTTGTTGATTTGCGAGTACCCACTCTCGTTCCATATCTCTGTCATTGGGTTTAATTCCGAGGGCGAAATTTGTTTTAAGGGGGGTAGAATGTAAGGATCGTGAAATTTTGATACTAGTTAAAATAAGTTTTTGATATTTTAACATATTTAATTATAATTTTAAAAGAGTAATTATATTTTTCTCGGCCTTCTAGAATTTTCTATGATTTAGAAATCTAAATTTTATATTTATTTAAATGATTTTAATATTTATAAATTTATTTTGTGCGGTAAAAATTTGTGGAATTAATTTGTTGTGTTATTAGTACTATTACGTATTATTTAAATAATAT